AATCTTTAACAAGCTTGTGGGTAGTGGGTAAAAAAAAACATATGAATTATGAACTAATTTTTTTTCAATAAACAATGGGAATACACGATTATGGATAAAATGATTATATGTTGATTTTGATGAATATAATCATTATTTACAAAGATTATTCAGCCATCTGTGGGAACAAACTGTTGTTTGTGGACTTTTTAAATTGCACTTTATAGACACATCTACAACAGAGGCACTTGATTTGACACAGAGCAGACAATCTGAGTAAAAAGCATTATTATTGTATGACACCAGAAAAATAACGATTGTGAATATCATACAGTTGCACGCACAGCCCTGACTCAAAGATCACATTTGATATTGGTCTAAAAAATTATTATCGGACTGATTCAAACAAGAAAAAGTAACAATAGCTTGTTTGGAGTCAATAGAAGATAACGTCGCAGTTTAAGACAGCCACCATGAAAATGCCAAGTCAAGACTACAGCAAGTCAAACTGCATCAACAGAAAATCCAGAAAACATTGTCACTGCACAGCAAAAACTGTTTGACATGTCTCCCCTGGGAAGCGCAGTGCAAACCACCACATCAATGACAGCTCAGACATCACAAAGTAAAACAATGAGGGTCTCACTGATTTAAAACTGAGAGCTTGAGGATTTATTCCATGATTTATTTTGACAGCATACAGAACAGTTTGTCTATGATATAGCAATTTGAAGGGAAACATTTATGAATCTCTCTCGGCCACAGTATGGGTGTAAAATAAAACATCCCGCTGTTTTCTCATCACTGGCCAGCGGATGGTGTCTCTCAGAGAGAAAGTCTCACTTTTGTCTCTCTATTCGTTTGTCTGGCTTTGGCTCGGGTGACTGACTGCAGTGCCAGTCTGGCCTCCTACACATCACCAGACTAAAGACTCTCTGCCCCGTTTGTGCCACTAATTTATGTTCTCTCCTAAAAGAAAAGGAATAACAACACATCTAAGGAAGGATACAACCTCCCCTTCACTATTCATTGATGTTTTTTGTGTCTTCACTGATTTGTGTTTGTAAAACCTTGTCTGGTTACTTGCTTCCAGGTTGGCAGCCGGAATACTAATCATAGGTTGGAATAGAGTCAGTGTAGGGATACTGTGTTCCTAAGTTATTTATTACTCTAATCACAGTAGCATTACTGTTTCGATGTCAGTAATGACTGGTACTGTGGTGACTTATTAGTGACATTACATTCTTTTGCTACTTTAACCTCTTCAGTGATAAAATCCATGAGAACATTTCTAACATTTCTTTTGTCAAATGCTGCCTTTATAAAAGGCAGATTGTTTTGTGTAGCACTTTTAAAAAGTAACTATTGAAAAATAAAATTGAAGTAAATTAAGATGAAAATAAACAAAATAATAATACACAGTGATAGTAGTACAAAATTAAATACCTTCTAATTTCAATAAAGAAAAAAATGCAGTTCAGAAAATTTATCAAAGGCGCAGAAGAGAAAACAAGTGTATGGCATGCAGGAAAGATCAAGTCATGAAGGTCAAATTAGAGAAGTGACAAGTAGGCTAAAGCACACATAAACAAGGAAACAAAGGGGTAATAAAACTCAGACAGACAGAATTTAATGTTTGATTGTATCTTAATTTAAACACACTTAGTTCTGAATTATATAAATACATTTACTGACAGCTAACAGAAATAACCCATTGTGTAAATGTAATCAAGTCAAAGTGTAATTTACAACCTTGTTGGGCCAATGACCCTAAAAAGCTATATAACTTTCTGTGTTGCTTTTTCTGCAGTGTGAACATCTGTTCTGTGCGCTGACTTAGCTCAACATGTTAACAACTGTGCGCACATGTAGTTGTAGACTCTAGAAATGTATACAAATGTCCTCAATATGGAATCAAATGAATGGTTCATGACAGAACATATGTGTTAGCAGGAACACTGCACATGCAGACACGCTCCACTGCACTTTATCTTTAGACACTGTCCTCTAGTGTCTAGCATGTATACTGCACAAACCCCTCAGTCATGAGAGTGAGTCTGATCACTGAGGTAAACAGCACTCTAAGCATGTATCTGTAAGGTACTTTCCACCGGATTTTCAAAAGTGATATGCATTACCTGTTAACTCTGGAAGTACAAAAGCAGTCTTCCTTATTTGGAAACAACAACAGGACCAGCTTCAGAAAGAAACTGATGCACTTTTCAAAAAATGTTGCACTTGTCAAATGCACAAAAGTAGCTCAGGGCCACAAAGATATCCTTACACACTGCTGCCACAGTGAAAAATGTGAAACCAATAATGTACCCACAATTCAATATTCTGACAAAAACTGCACCATGTTAAAAGCCTTTATGAATAATTTATCTGAAGCTATTACGAGCAGACCCTATGACGTTTTCTCGACTCTGTGTTGCTCGAAGAATAAGGAAACTACTGCACATTTAAAGACTTACATGAGACATTTTTCTGTACAATTTGACAACACTACCATGACTCATGTTGTATCTCTCACTGCGAAACAGGATGACAGATTATTAGCTGAGAATCTAAAACACTATATATAAACAACCAAACTTATTTTTTGAGTTTTCAGGAAGTGACCACAGACACCACTGTGTTCATACTATCACTATATGAGAGCATTGTCAATAAACATATAATGATACTTCTAACAGCTAATAATCTACACAGCAGATGATCTCATTAGCACCTATGTTAATAAAAAAAAAATAGTCAGCTGAAAAGCTATTTTTCCCTTTGAGGGCACTTGTTTTAGATACCAGGCATAACAGAAACTGGCTACATGAAACGAAGGACGTCACAGAGCTGAAGGGTTATGTAATGCCTGTCTGGTCACTGTTCAGAGCAGAAAAGATGTACACTTGAATCAGTTGAAGAAACTATTCTTTAAGGAGGTTTAACTAAAAAATACGCATGTATAATATTTATAATTTGTTTTTTTCACCATCCTAATTTAGTGTGTTAGTATGCAAACATTTGCTAATTAGCCCAAAACACAAAGTACAGCTGAGGCTGACGGGAATGTATATAGTCTTGCAGGTTTTTGATCATAAGCTCAAGTACTGAACAAACAAATTTTTATCCGAGGATGGCGCTAGAGGAAAAGTTAAGGGATGATCAAAGTCGTTCGGATTCATCCTATGGGGACCACGAATGTATGTATAAAATTTTAAAGCAGCGGACCAACTAACAGGCCAACTTGCCATCCTTATAGCCATGATCCTAGAATGGTTAAAAACATTAAACTCAACAAGATGTTAACCCAGCTATGACTATTACCTGGATTACGACTAAAAAGCAGCTGCTGGGAAAGACTTGCCCAGTAAGGTAAACAAAACTGTGAATTCAGTTTTACTATATATTTTTAACTTTGGCTAGTTTCACTTGATACATTTACAGAGTATTTTCTAGTTGATATCAGTTTTCTGCACCCTGAAATCCCAGTCGTTGTGTAAAAAGAGATTATTGTGTTTATGTTTGTCTAGATGTAAAGCACCTCATGCTCACTTACACATTCATAATGTTTGGCCTATCAGCCCCTGGTGGTTGTTACGCCCAGGATCATTCACTCCCCTCCTCTCTACAATTCTGCTGACGTGTATAGCATATGACCAGTAGTGTGTTTATTTCTTTCACCAACACTATATGGTGTTTTTTAATCACTATCAATCAGACATCAATGGAGCAACTGTCAAGAGTAACAATTAACTGATCAATAAACCAGCATGTTAGAGCGCAAAAAAAAAACTTGATACAGTTTTACTGACATCTTATTTAGTATCAGCCAACAGTATCTGCCCCTCAAAGTGTCTGCAGCTTGATAACAAATGGCCCTGTCTCCATTTGTTGTGAGATAAAGCTGCAGCTCCAGCCTTGTATGTGTCTCACAAGGCTAATGAATCGGGCCAAGGCCATTATGGCAGCAATCCAGCGAGACAACATAGATAGAGTTGCCTTTATCTATTATATTTCATTGTATCCCGGCGTCCTGCCAAATCTAGAGGCACTACAGCAAGTCATGACGAGAACATTTCAATTAAATTTCAAATCTCCAGAAATAAATAAACCAGATATCCCAATGTCTACCTAAACTCTAGCTCATCAACCAACTCTGCGGAAGTACTTGGAGTCATACAATCCTGCTGCTGTGCATTCAGAGACAATAACGCAGCGTCACACAATACTGCTGCAGTACCCCACCCCATCAAATCAATAGCAGAGACAACCAGGGAAGGGGTTTGGAAAGAGGTAGTGTTGCTGTTTGTGGCACGAAGAGACAGTATGAAATGAAGACCCACCACAGGAAGTGCTGAGGCAGCCCTGCCTCAGTGTTCAGACAGTTAACAGAAGTGGAGGAGCTGCAGAACCTGGACAAGACCTCTGGTAGATAAAGAGACAGTCCTAGCAGTTTGAAACCACCCATGGGAAATAAATTAGCTTCGTGAGAGGTGGTAATAATGTTGTTACACAATGTATCTCTTTCAACTGCCTACAAGAGTCTCTCAGGTAGTGTAAAGTATGCATGCAAATTTGCACCAGTAGATCTTGACATTTAATAAAGGAAATTGTTTTTAAAACACCTAACAAACAAAAAAGGCGCCAAGACATCAACTCACGATATGTATGTTACCATATGCAACAAATCTCTAAAACAAAAGCTCTGTGGCGAAAAGCAGTGAGTCAATAGCCGACTTCAAGCCAACTTGAAGTGCACATTTTAGACAACAGCTGATATGACGAGCGGATGACAAACAGAATCAATTATCACAAAGCCGCTCCAAAGCAATATGATCGACTGTTGAGAGGAGTGAAGAGAGGAGAGCATTAACAGCTAGTGTTAGCAGCAGTGTTCCAGCAGAGTTTGCAAATGAGCACTAAACCAGAAAAGAAAAAGAATGGGCAGAACTTAAAAGGGCTGTCTGTCACTGACACCTCACACACACTTATACCTCCATTATCGTTCTATGTGAACATCGTACCTGCGATGCGGATGACAGCCCTCTCTGCTGGGTCCAGCACATCTCCAGAGGCTGACTTGGAGCGCTTGATGCGGTGGTGTTTGGGCAGGTTCCAGGGTAGCGTGTCTCCAGGGGACGGAGAGTAACTTATTGAACTCAGATCACTGGAGCTCTCCTCCGACGCAGCCCTGACCAGAGGCCTCCTCTTGGGCTTGTCCTTCACCTCCTCCATAGTCTGAATGGACATAGTGAGCAGAAAAGGACGAACATGGATTTATAAAACCACTCAAAACAAAAACAGAGTCTTTGTAATTCCTGTAATTTATTCTGTATTGTTATTGTGAAATGGTAACACAACCACCAAATATTTGTGGAAGTACCAGCTCTTAAAATATTCAGGAAATCACCACAGCAGGTTGTTTCCCTGTTTTCAAACAGAGCAGATGAGCAACTGAGATAATTTGACATTCATGACAAATGCCTGACTACATAGCTCTACAAAATAAAAGACATTAGCCCAAACATAAGACCAGCCTGCTTTTGTGACACTAGTTTTTGGATGAAGATGAGAAAAACTTTGAAATAAAAAAGATAGCTAACTCTAATGTATAACATACATATATACACATATATACATATTTAACATCCTTAATAAATTAATGTAACATCAAGCTACAGTAAACCTATTCTAAGGGTATACAAACATGTTAATTACAGGACAATATACATATTTTTAAATAGAGTAAAATTAGACATGAAAACTTTTAATTAGCTGTTATATTTTACTATCTCAGAGATAGGCAATATGCTAATTATCAAATGTATTCGGCCGTTTGGTGATTTTAACAGCTTTCAGTTTTTAAAAAGGCTCTGGTAACTTTTAACACATATTAACATAACTTCATTCAGTTTTTCAGTCAAGTTTTTCACAAAGTCTCCTGTCAAGCTCGTTGAAGGAGTCAGTTTTGGGACTAACTTACCAAATAATTTTCTCTGTCTGTTAGCTAACCTTACTTACTGCTTACCATCTTCCACCATCTGTGACACTTTATTTCTAGTTGGCCGCCTGACAGATAAATCTGTGACGTCCATTTCGTGGTTATGAGTTGGGACTCGGCTCGTTAGTAGGCCTATTTCTTTCTTCATTTATGAGCAGAAAACTGCTTTAGCTTAACTGTCCTCATTTTTTTGTGCTGACTATTAACTCTAGAACACCTGTTATTATAAACGGCCAGGTATGAAACCGCTAGCTTAATATTAAACTACAAACAACCCATAATGCAACGCTCTCTTAAAGCAACAGGCTCACTCCAGGTGTCCTAGGTAAGCACAGGTGTCAGATAACAGTTTCACTGTTTTGCAGATAAAACTCTTCACACGTGTAAAACAACAACTCCAATTATTAGTTTTAAATTATTAGTATTTTTATTTTCAGATATTTTGGAATACCAATACAATTATATCATCATAATGTGACTCCACAAAAAGGTAAGGAATGATGATATTTAATGATTGCCCAATCCTATTTAAACCTAGTGTGCAGTATTTAGGACAAATGCTCAGTGTTTTAACTCAGTGCTCAAACTGCTATCTTAAGATGGAGGAGTATTTTTCATCAAAATCCTAGCGGCCTGGCTCATTGAAAGAGCTGCTGTGAGGAGCAGGGCAGGTGCTCCTGATGTACTGTACGTCACCACACTCCCAGCTTCCTTTTTAGCTGAGTCACCATCCAGCTCAAAGGATGCTCACCATAGGGGCGCTGGCTGCTCCGACACAGCCTCTCTGATTGGATGGGAGTAGACAGGACCAAAGTCCCAGGCGTAATGTCTTCAGTGCATCAGATGCAGTTCACATTCAGGTTATGATGAAGTGCTATTTCTGGCTAGTTACTGTTTGTTGTTAAGACTGCAGTACTGTAACTACTAAATTTGGCAGCTCATCCCAGAGCACATTTACTGCTTGGTGTCAGTATTTCTAAAAGGAAGTGTGACACTGACCATCTGTACATGACAGCTGGTAGCCTACATAATGATACATTATTACTCAACCTGTGTGGAAGTTTTCTTTCAGGTTTTGCCACTTTGAGATCAGCTTATCATGCCACACTACATATAGACAAACTAGGGCCTAATAAATGTTTGCCTCTGAAAGTAGAGCAGTAACACATTATATTTCCTGTGGCATTTCATTGACTCGTCTTAATGGAGACATGGGCATTCGGCCACTGTTTCACTGGTCAACTATAGGCCTACTGCTGTTTTGGATTCAGCTTGGGCTTCTAGGATACAGTCTTTATATACAATAAAATATACTGTATAAATAATTCAGCTAAATGATGACCATGCTGTTTGAAAGGTTAGAGCTACACACAGTAGGGGAGTCATGTTAAAAACTCACAACATCTAAAATAGCCCTTACACACAGCAAAGAATTTAAGATATCAAGATTGCCCCGAAGCACCACTGAAATTTATCCTACATGCATATAAATCCCGTTTTGTATCACATACATAATGCTTTAATGAGCCAGACAGCAAAGTGTGAGCCTTTTTGATCTCTCAGGCTCCTCGGCATCTCTCTGCATTAATCACTGTACTGCAGAGCACTGATCTATTCTCTAATGCCATGCACCTACACTAAGGTGCCAAAATCATCTGCTTAGGGTTTGAGACAATTAATACAATCTCTACTGCTGAAATCCCCTGTGTCCTTCTGTCTCTCTAACCCATTACTATTCAGACTGGCTTTGCTTTCTCGTATGGCCTTCATCCAAGCAAGCTGAAAGCATCTGGGTGATCTGTAGTTACCAGGCAACCTTGAAGAGCATTAGAGAGCATGCTCCTGAAACTCTTAGGACTTGGAAATGGAAGAAAGTTAAGTGGTGTGTGCTGGTATGAATAGACTCTGACAGTGGCTGAATCACACTGACAGCTGACTGAGGCTCCTCTCTTTCTCTTTCTCTCTCTGTCCTCACCCCCCTTGAAACTGTGAAACACTGATGGACTTCTTTAGGACTGGATCTATTGATCATCAGTTGACAGATTAAGCTGTCACGTCTGGATCCTTCCCCCCCCAAAAAAAATTCAAAATCATGCCCGTTCAGGCTTTGAGCTGCACTGCCACACCTGAAATCAGAGCAGGCTTTTTGACCTGAGCCGCAGGGATGAGAGACCTGATAGGTGCACCTGTCGTTTGACAGGTTAGGATGATGCAAATAAAAACACCCCCGCATTCTCTCATAGTGATGATGGGTCGGGTTATTTCTCCATCTGCAGGTTTTGAAATGACACTGAATCGTGTGATTAACACCGTCGGCGATGCGGCAAAACGGGTATTTTAAACAATCTGTAGGATTTGTGGTTACTCACGCTAAAAATATCCAGGATTACTGCTGTTTTCGTCCCAGGTAAACAATCGCAAAAAATCCCTTTACTGCAGTGGTACCGTAGGCGGATTCGTCCCAGATAGATCCGCTCAAACTTAGAGAGCCACCATCCTCAGCCGCAACGGGAGTCGCGCCTGCGTCCTGCAGTATCCTGATTCCTGGCTGTGGGATGTTGAACCTGCCAGACTTGGACTGTTCCGGGGTGCAGGGTGAGCCGAAAGGAAGAATCTGCTCCCACAGCCTGCATGCCTTACAGCTAGTAGCCTACAACAGCAAGTTGTCGCTAAACGGCAGGCGCGCATTAAGATGAAGATGAGAGGAGAGGACTGGTTGCATGATCGGTGCGCATGTGAAAACTGAGCTCAGGTCAGGTTGATTGCAGCATGCAATCAGAGGCTGGGGCTTCTTCACACATTTTATTATTGATAACTTTATAACGTAGTGTGTCCCGGTATGCTGTCTATAATATTGTGTGTAGAGAGAGACACCATCTCAAGCCCTGTCAGACTGGGGATTTACTTTTTCCTTGAACTAAACACCTTCAGGATGATGTTACAAAATAGGATGCCTGCACACTAGGCTACTGCTGAGATCAGCAACTGTCTGGCTGTGATAGATTACCTGGTTACATTGATGCTATAATCCTACACTTACAAAAGGGATCTGACATATTTGACGCCTATGTGTAAACTCTTGATGGTGTAACTTTTAAACCCAAGCTTGAAGCCAACATTTAAAAAAGATCTTGTGGGGTTAAATGGAGCAAAAAATGTTTATATTAACCGGCTTGTTTTGGACACATGCCTTCAATGCAGAGAGAAATCCAAGTTTACATGTGTTGTCTAATAACTAAAGTGAAGACAAAAAAACCCAAAACATGACAAGTGAGCAACTTCATTCCCTGAAAAAGGCCATGAAATATAGTTGAAACTGGATCTTGTGTTGAGTAATTTTTCGTCTTATTAAAATATATTCACTATGATGTCTGAAAACACAACAAACAAACCAACAAGTTCTTCCAGAAAGTCTTGGCTCACCATATTTTTCCTCAATGATTCCTGTATTTGTTGACAACATGCTTATTAACATTCAGAGCTTTATGTGATGTCATGTAGAATTATGTAATAATGACAGTAAATGTGAGAAACTACTGTTAGTGGCAGTCCAACATCACAACTAGTTTGTAGTGTAAGTGTCTGCCAGCTGACCTCTGCCTGCACTTTGATGTCATAAAATGCAAACGAACAGCTATAATTAATCAGAAAAGCTGTTCCATCTAGCCTCCTTTTGTCTTCCAAGTTATTTATTCTACGTCGTGTTTTCATGTTTCTTTTTTGCTCCGAATGGGGCCAAGTTGCACTGAGTCGAATTAAAAACTGTCATGCTGAGCCATTACATAATCACAACACCATGAATGATAGAGTGCTTGTTTGTGTGGCCCTACTATATTATTAGTCTCCCACTTGGAGAATGAATCAATGGGTATGGAGGATATGGGGACTGGGGGAGGTGAAGCGTTGGTTTAATCCCACTCTGAGCCCATTCCAGCATGCCATCAGTTCTGAATACTGGTGTCTGTGCCAGCTTTGTACCCATTGTGCTAAAGGGTCAATCTGATCAACCAAGTGCTTCATGTAGCCAGAGAGCAGTGGAGCGCTCAGGAAGGTGAAGGATGTTCCCGGGCAGTTAAGACCTGTTACTGTGGTAATGAACGTAAACCATTTTATAATCACGTGATTCACTTCAAATTATTGTTGCTGAATAAGAAATCCTGCAAAATGAGATGCTGGTCTCCTGTGAGGAACCCGGGTGTTGGAAAAACAGATTTTAAGAGATGTATAGTCAGGTGAGAGAAACTCACAGCAACTTTGAAACACCTTTTAAATAACAATACTGTCACCACTAAATGAGCAGAGAGAGAGAATACTTAACAAGTACACTCTAGGAGCATGTCAAGAAATGTGTGTTCAGTGGATAAATCTTGAGAAGCACTCAACAAACACTGGTGTTCTTGAACAAGCCCTGTAACCTATAAAGGTTTCAAATACTCTGGCTCCTCTACAAGTGAGTTCCTGAAGTTTGGTCTTTTGCACATGTTTTAACTCTTCACGAGCATGTTGAGTACAGTAAGACACAACAATGAGCTGATATTATTTTCAAGATGTCCATGGAACACATTTAGAAGATATATGTATCTTAAATATTACATAAAATGTATTTAAAATAGTACACTTTAACTGCAATAAAGATATTTAAAGTTGTTCCAATTAAACACAACTAAGTACTCTAGACTATTTTGTGATTCACCTGGGTAAATATTATGAATCCACTGCCGTCCAAGATTGTTATTTTATTTTATTTAAGCCAGGCAATTTAGATAAGAAAAAAATCTTATATACAACCACGGCCTGGTAATAGCAAGCTATAATATTGTAGGATTAACAGGCTACAATATTTGCCAAATTACAGTTCTTTGTGTTTCTAGGCATCCACCCATGATTGCAAAGCTACATCATCACTGTATGTGAAATAAAAATAGTAAAATCAACATGCATTAGTTATTTCTGCACTGACATAAAAACCATCAGAACCCAGTTGACAAACAGCTCAAATCTAAATAATTGTCAGTGACAACAAAGAACATTTCATAGCCCTTTAAACGTTCCAAAGGTCCAAAAATGGACTTATTAAACCAAATGCAGCGGAGAAATTGGTCCTGACACCAGAAAAATGAGACCTTTGATGACACACAGTGGAGAGACATTCCTCACCTTCTGTGATCTCCCTCCAGTCACAGTTTCCATCCTGCCTTTAAGTGGGCGTCTCTTCCTTTTCCTCACTGCCGGACACGGTGGCTCCTGTCCCAGGGCCACAGACTCCTTCACCGCAACTTCCTCTGACTGGACGGAAGCAACTGGCTTCTCTTTGGGCTTTTTCTTCCTCTGAAACGACACTGCCTTTAATTATTTAAAGTTATTATCAACCTTTTCATCATAGCAGATTTGTCTCAGCCACTATATCAGCTTTACACGGCAGCCTCTCTGACGCACAGATTTTTATTAAGGTTTCAGGGGTAAACTTTAGCTACAACATGGGCTTTCCCATTCTGCCAAAAATACCGTTTTGGAACAAAAAACACAAAGTCACTGTAACGTAGAAACCTCCATCCGACATGGAAACAAGTTTAGTTTTTATTTCCAAATTAAGGCTCAGTTTTAAAGTTTGTTTTGAGGAAAGACTGCTCTCCAATTATAGATCTCACCATTGGAAAACTTGATATCTGGCATGCACTGACTGAGCTGGACAAAAGCTTCCTTATTCAGAGGCCACTGATTATGATTAGTGCTGTCAGGTAAACAAATGGGGTTTTGTTTTTCCTGCTGCTGAAATTCCCTGAAGAGGAATATAACTACATCAAATTAGTTTTTTGCACCCAAGCAAAAAATCTTATAGTGCCATTGAATGCAAACTATGAAATGTCTTAATTGACATCATGATACTAGCTTTTACAGAGTGGATCTGCTATATTTAAAGATTATTAATGCCAATGTTCAGTCAGAATAGTCTGAATTATGTGTCAAATTACATAACGTTATTTCTTTATCCATAGCTGATTTTGTTAGTTGCCTCTCAGCAGGCTTTGGAAGAAGTCCTGATCTGTCAATCATTTTAGGGATAAATAAAGTTCTGTCTCATCGTATCATGCCGTAATCAGCGGGTAAGGGTTTTGAGGCATGCAATATTTTGAAAGGAGTGATTGTATAGTCCTTTCTTTGCCATGAATTGAAATCGACAGAACGCATGGATGACATTTCCTTTGTCAAAAAAATGAACAAGCCTTTCTTTCATGCTGTTGTTGTAAATCACATGCAATCATTCATTCACATATCGCACAGCGTGACAGATGAAATCTAAGGCTGTTCGGCTCTGCAATAACCTCTGAACCACCAGCACGCATGAAGGGAATATTTATGGAACACCCTCCCAACGACTCTTGTTGTCTTTTTGTTTAAACACCACTTTCAACTCTTTTAAGACATGGAAGTGCATGCTTATACAGTATTAGGCTAAGATCCACGGTGCATCATAGTTGTATATATTAGTATTTGGGTACTAATTTTAACACAGAAGTCCTTCTCAAAACAGAAATTAACAACTGTGAAAAGGTTTGCAATCTTAAGAAGTGGTGTTGGGTGAGTGTAACCAAGATCAGTCCTATTTCATAGGAAAAAACGGAAATACACTCACAAAACGAGTAGAATTTAGTTAAAATGCTGTTAATAGCAAATAAAAAAGCTATTACCTGGACTTGGGGGATTGTAGTGCCCCTGACAAAGGGCCATTGGCTAATAATTGTTGAAGAAATCTTCTTAATGGAAAAACTGATACATATATTGAGACTACAAGAAGTACAACTGGAAGAAAAATGGGGAACATTGACATACAAGATTCAAAATGGCGACATTGAGACAGAGCTGCATCAACCAAGCATCCATTAACAGGGCTGTGTGAATGAATTTCCCAAACTTCTGTTACAGTTTAATGTTGCATATATTTTATCAATTACGTGGAAAAAAATTTAATAAAACGGGACTAAAAACAGGATGTTTAGATCACAGCACCATGCTGACAATATAGTGCTGAAGATGGTCCATGACTGACAGGTTTGTACCCTTTTAACATTTTGTCACCTTTTTATTCTTTTTGCATCTAAAGAGTCTCTTCTGTTTTTTTTTTATCAGTGTGCAGCCATTTTTTTCCTATCTGTGACAGGTTTCAAAACAGAGACTGACATTATGTTAGCTGCTGTAAGTCACTCTGTTTTTTAGACAGAGACCTCACATGTCTCTTTGTCCATACACTGGTTGCTGCAGGAAAAAGTTAGTTAGACAAGGGGCTTCATGCATGGAGCCATTTCAGAGAGCCTCTCAATCTTATCACACACAATGACTGCACAGTGCTTCTCCACTGTGTACAACACTAGTAATCACTGTGTCAAAACACACTGAGTGAGGCCAGCAAAGCTACAGATCTCTCAGTATAACATGAGCCCTCTTGCAGTAGACTTAGTGATGGAATTGCAGTGTGATAAAGCTGCAGCTGCTGAGAGGTTATATTACAGTACACAGATTATATAGGAATGGTATAAACAACGTCCTCCGCAGTGATACTAGATGGGACAAGAGTACATGGGTGTATTATATTTATATTGTAGGACTTGTATGCTGCTCAAATTGTAGTATATGCATGTTGTTCAAATGGCTTTGAATAAGAACAATGTTCTTTGTTTTGTGCTTCAGCAAATGCCAGTTCCTTTTGTGTTAATAAAGAAACACTGTTGCTCACGCCGGAAACATTAAATGAATCACTTCCCTGTATTACTGAGACTGAACATTAAATGTAAAAACAGGATATGCTGTGGGCAGAATCACTACACAACTCAGCAACATTTCCACGCCATCAGTGTGGCCATCAGTCAGTCCACTCTGGTCCAGACTGAAATATCTCAACAACTATTGGATGGATTGACACAAAACTTGCTGCAGACTTTCATGGTTCCCAGATGATTAATCCTCATCATGACTGGTAATCCCCTGACGTCTCCACAAACATCAGCATGTTAACATTGTCATTATGAACATGTTAGCATGTGGACATAGCATTTAGCTAGGGGGATGCTTGTAAGAGCAAATATGAGATTGATTATTGATGAAAGGCTGCTGACTTGCTTTAAGAACTAATTCCAAGCAGTGTGTTTATTTCAAAGCATCAAACCTAGTTAACAGGAGGTATTCCTGATGGACTATTTAAATGTAGCAAAACAGGTTTATTAAAATATGAAGAATGTAGCATTTTTCCCCAAAGAGGTACCAATCACAGCCAAATCCACTTAATATTGGTCTAATCTGAATCTTTCTTTAAAAACAGAGGCCCCTCCCAAAAGATGTTAACTTCAGGTTAAAAAAATAGTTATTAGTAGTTTAAATTAAATTTTTTATTTTTTTTCTCTTTATAATGTTGTGACTATGTGACATGATTTCAGTTTGTGTCACACACTGGCAAATGACATAGACATACAATCATACCATGTCACTAAATAATAATGGTCCAGTACACAAAAGTAATGAGGAACCTGTCAAGCTTGCTGGTCTTGTGTGCTTCTCTGATCTGCAGGCTGGTTGGATGAAACTGAGCAACAGACAAGTGAAGGAGGACCTCTGAAGTCTGAGGCAGGCATTACAAATAGATGTGCTAATGTGATAATGAAAGCAGACTGCACTTTGAGGACTCCATCATGGTTATATAGGAATGTAAGGCATGACGACGTGTTCACATATTGGGTCCAAATGAGGAAGTAGTTCATTAAAACAGACAGAACAAAGTCTCATATTACATAGATTTCCTTACCTGAGTTGGAGCTTTAGATTTGGAGCGCTTTGCCGTCACTGTATGATAATAAAATAAAAAAACAATCAAATGTTACCTAAGAATGAACAAAATAGTTTGGATTACAAAGAATCAAAAGACAATGTAGGTCAATCATCACCGCACTACTATTATCAAGTAGCAACAGTGATATTGCTTTAAAATGCGTATATTGCAGTAGAGAAGACAGAGAGGTCCTGAGTCATGATTCACTGCAGTGACATGCAGGTTACCATGACTCTGCAGCTTGTAGGCTTCAGCTGAATGCTGACCCATATCATCAAATCATGTCAAAGTTATAAGTATCATTAAGCTCACATTCTGGAGTGTGGTACAACAATAGTGTACTTTTACGTTCTTAGTTAGATGGAAAAGAGTGTCTGCAATGGCTCACAGCAACGTCCTAAAAATAAACTTGTTTTATTGTACTAATAAATATGAAAGACCCATTGTATACCCTCACATGGGTAAAGCACATTTAAACAGTAATCACAACAGCTCCAACCACAAAATGGAGTCAGAGCCAACAAGAGCTGGCAATTTCTGGAAAATGTGAACACTGCAGTCTTGGAAAGGAAACACTAACAATTTACTGTGGACTTGGAGGGAAAAAATGCATTCCCACTGAGTATTCCTCAGAGTAAAACCGAGCCTGACTTCAAGTTAAAACTTCTTGCTGTACGCCTATCACAGGCCTCCACACACCCACAGGGGTGGGGGTTCAGGGGCCCACCTACCTGCCAGGTACCTCTCCAAGGAGGGCGAGGATCTCTGGTTCCAGCTGTAGCAGCAGAAGAAGAAGAGCCAGACCAGGAGGGTGGCCAGCACCAGAACTAGGACCCAGAGGAGCCGGGCCACAGCTGGGTTAGTGACAGCCCAGGCTATCAGGGTATCCATGCTGAAGGGTGGTGAGCACACTGCTTGTCACCAGTGGAGCCTCACTATCTATAGTCAGTCTGAGTCCCAGAGTGTGACTGCAGCAGAGCTCATGTATGGGTTGCAGTGGGTCGGTTTGTGTCCTCTCAGGCCAGCCACAGTGCCTACAGCAGCAGGAGGAAGTAGCAGCCAAAGCAACGGCAACCACAGATGGATACCAGCTGTTACAGAAGGAGCCCTGCTCAGACCTCAGCCCACGTCAGCTCTGAGTGTGTGTGTGTGTAAGCATGTGTGTTAGCTTGTGTATGTGTCTTGTGTTTTACTGGGTCCTGGAAAAGTGTTGTGTGTGTGCATAAGCAAAACAGTTGGAGGAGGGGCTAGGAGTTACAGCGGCTGTCAGCCACTCCCAGGGTGAACAGAAAGAATCCTCACACAGGCTGCAATTCTGAGGGGCGACTCAGAAATGCACCTGGGGCACTTTCCCGTCTTTACCTGCATGCCTGCCAGCAGTATTTTCTTCAGTGACAGAGGTTAAAGGTATTCTTGCGCAGGAGCTGCCTGTCATTTCTTTACATTAACCCATTTCAAAAAACAGACTGCACATTCATGTCACATTCCATATAAAGACTGACAATGTGAGATTAACAGTTAACAAAGAGAGCACACTTAACCTTGACTTAAACTATTCACCTAACAGGTTTAAATTAACCCTGCTCCTTACAGCTGCATGTTACTCTAACAATGCTTTAGTATGCACACAGCACATTTACACAAGGATGTGCTGTAATGGAGTAGGCTTTGAAGTGTCATTCAAAATTCAGGAATAAGGTGTGGCTAAACATTTACTTCACACGCAGAAACAACCAACACTAACTGACATTGTTACAACAAACAAGAGCCTTGAAAATTATCCAAGTGTGTGAGACTGTTGCATGATGTGTGTCTTGTGAGTTCCGGTTTCACAGTGCTTTCCATCCAATTTGATCTGGGTGGCCTCTCACGTCATGGCCGGTTATAGGAGAGCCAAGTTCAGTGTCTACTGTGAAAGTATTCTTACTTTTATTTGCATGTCAATTGTGCACCTGTCTGTCTTTTAATGACAAGTTATAGAAATATTATGTTGTAATAGGAACTACAGTCTGGCAGAGATTGTTAAATGTTACTACTGTCTGCTGACAGCAAAAACAAAAATGAACCAAGTGCGCCATCTAGTGGTGAAGAATTAATAGAGTAAGAAGAAACAAGAGCTCGATAAATGTTTAATGTTAATTTATTACATTTTTAGTTCAATCTTTACCTCCAAACTTTGGGTGAATAATTGAAACATGACCACTTCACCTCAAAATCAAACTAATACAAAGTAATACTAGATTTCAAGTAAGTTATGTTAAAGAGAAAAGGACCCACTTAATATAAATAATATGTGAAAAGAACCTCTTCAAGCCTCGCTGCCTCCTGCTGGATATTTTGTATCGCAGCTGTTAAGTTAAGTTAAGTTAAATGACAATAGTGGGTAACTGATGAATTCATAAATACATTAAAAAGCTTTAATAATATCCACAAGAACCATCCGCATCCTCTTGATACTGATTTCCATTTTAATAGAAGCCGGTGTCTTGAGCAGCCCAGTTTGGTGTCTGAGAAAACAAAAACAAGAATAAAGGCTCAAACTACTTTCCAAAAGGCAAGTTTTTTTTTTTCCTTCCCAAAATTAGATCCTCCAACTGCCATCTTCTCTTTCAAAATGATTGACAGGACAAAAATAAAAGATCTTTTGACAAAATAATGTTAGATTGTACAGAGTACCTCCATATTTACTGGCATGGCAAATGACTCAAATTAAAATCACGATTTCTTTTCCCAAAAGGAAATGTTGTATAATGCCGTTGAACTCAAAAAAGTAAGAGGTTTCATGTTACAAGCATACAGCTTGCTTATCAAGATCTATAAGATAGATCTATAAGAAAATCTGTGGTCACAATCAGCTAAGAGAAGATAATGGGAATTAAATGTAAATATAGTGTTTTCACATAGATCCATCAGAGGGCAGCAGAACTAAGGAAATTAGTCTGCACATGCTGACATGACAGGTGATCAATAAGAATGAGTGAAGTGACATTAGGTTAAACTTTGACATTTTTTTAATCTCTGAATGCAAAAATTTATCTCCAGTGTTAAGTATAAACACTGTTAACCCATAAAATTCATTTAAAATACAACAAGCCATGAACCGGTGATGGGACCGCCATACTATCAATCAAAGTTTACTGGATGTTTGTAAATAAAGTTCTGTCTTTGTCAACTCAACTTTAACAACAAAAAAAAAAGACATAAAAATGATTTATAATATTCATATCCTCTTTCCCGCAACAGTAAATACCACTAAAAGGTGAAAAGTTCACATCCCTATACAATGTTTAGTGCTGAGTCTACCTCATTCCTGTTGCTGTGGGCCACCTTCTTCTCAATGTTCATTGCCAACATCTGGCTACGAAAGGACAGGCTCTTGGTCTTCTCGATCACCTGCTGGTACGGCGACACTGCGTTGTTTCCCATCACCACATGACCCTGACAAACAAAACCACCAAAATTTGTTTTTATGAAGAAGACTTTAAAATAGGGGTGGTGATGGTGCAGTGGATACTCCCCATTGTGACACATCCACCAATGTGTCCCTGAGCAAGACACTTAATCCCTAGTTGCTCCAGAGGCGTGCGACTTCTGACATATATAGCAATTGTAAGTCGCTTTGCATAAAAGCGTCAGCTAAATGAATAAATGTAATGTTAAAGTGCACGGTTAAATCCTATGTAAGCGCAAATACATAAATTGACACAGCTATTAGTAGTCTCAAATTAGTAGTCTGGTACGGGCTGTTTATGCTAGGCTGAGTGACTTGAAGTGCATCTGACTGACTGAAGGTGGATCAGCGAATGCAGAGCCTCACCAGTTTGGAGTCAAGCTTGGCATCAAGCCTGGCATTACGGATGAGGTTGACGATCCACCTCTCCGCCTCCTCGGGCGTCATGTTGAGCTTGTCTGCCAGCATGCTGAGTGGAGAGAGTGAAGGAGGAGGGGGCATTTCAGTTAAGTAAATATCCTTTGGGGAGGAAGTCTTCAAAGTCTCCTTTTTACAGTTTAATATACGATAAAGAACTAGAAAGACATGAAAGAACATATCAAATTTGGGAGCGCTGAGAAGTAATATTACTGCAGAACATCAATCACCTGGGTCCAGAAGTTGGAAAGATCTTTTCATTGTTTCTTCTCATGTTTTAACAAATAAAAAGGCAATGCACACACTGTTGTGTTACTGACAAGAAAGCCTATTTCTAGGACAGTGTACCTGATGCTGATACACTGATGGATCCGACAAAAAGTCTCAAAGATGAAGAGACGGGCATTCTCGATGAAATCCTCGAGGCAAGCGACCAGGAAGAAGTCGTTGACAAGAACCTGAAGAAAGAGAAACCACACTCCTGTAAATACTGTAATAATCACTTTATAAACACAAACAAAGCATTCATGTACAGAAAGTGTTGAGAGAAAAACAAAATCAGGAACAGACCAAATGTTCCTTCAGTTAGCAGTTTCTCTGCCAGCACATTTTCCAATATATGCAGAGCCGTCTTCAAAACATATGCGATGAAATAACACTCTACATCAGTGTGTGGAGCTATAATTTCAATCCATACCCATGTTTTACTGGAATGATAAGTTTACTTTAAGTACACTAGAGTACATAATAGTACCACACGACAACCATGACGTGCTGGAAACGATTTCCTTTGACTGTGGTCTGGCTGTTTTGCCACCCCGTTCTGGCCGAATTTCCAGCTATTGGTTTATCCACCCATACATTAAAATGTCCAGGTTTAAATCTATCCAACCTCACAATGTAATGTTATTTATAAGACAGTTTTGTATTGGATAATGTTTTTTTCCCCAAACTTGCCAATTCCCCCAAAAGATATGGTCACACAAGCTGCATTATATCACACCATTAGAAATTGGAAAATCAAATATTCCTCATTAAAGTGCACATTTATGCATCAATGTGCTTCCAAATCTCTTTAGATAATCTGCTGTCTAGGAGGTTCCTGTGGTGTGAATGCGACAGCTAAATCATGTACTGATGTTGATATTACTGTTCCTCTATTACAAAAGAATGTCATTAAACAAAATCACAAGACGATGTTCTGCCCTTATGAAAAAGAAGCTAATGCCCTTATGAAAAAGAAGCTAAAATGCTAATGCTCCCAGCTATAAACATTAATGTATTCTCAAGGCAGATTTTTTAAGTAATATGTCAATATGTATTGTTACACAACAAGATGTTAACACATTTCTCCATTATTGCAGCCAAGCTCATGCTAAAGAAAACATGGAACCAGCCGTCATCCAACACGAATCATAAAGCAGCCATATCACCAGATGTGAGCCATGAGTGTTCTGTGGGAGATTATGTCAAGTCATCTCTATCTGTGGTTTTAAAGCAACGATCAGAAACATCAAATGGGATTGTGAAAGCAGATGTGGCATTATTATTTCACAAAGAGCTATGAAATAATGATGCTTTGTTATTGTGTAAGAAATCCAATTATTCAACATTTTGCTGTGGTGAACACAAACTAAGGTGCCGTAGTACACCATAAATAATCAATGGGTTTACTGGTTCACTAATTATTTTCATATCTTGTGATTGAGACAGACTGGAAGAAATAGCAAACCACAAAACTAAAAAAAAAAAAATCATGTGATGATGTTTGTACAGTAATTAAGAGAAGTTGTTGATTTCTAGAGGGAAAAAACATGTAAAATTAAATTCCCCTGACCATTAAAAGAGAGCTGAAAACAAGACAACAGAATGACTTAATGAACCATCTTCATTCTTCCGTCATTATGCTCACACTCTGGCTCTGACAGGATAGTTGAGGCCTTTGCAATCACTGCATAATTTATACAAGAGGGGTAAAAGCCAATTGATGAGAGTGCTTAGAGAACACGCAAAGTGGTCCCCCAACACAACTACAAAACTGCAGTCAAGGGTTTCTAAAGAGAAGGCAACCAAGCTCCAAATCTGACAGCTGTTCCGCTTTGAAAATCACAGTGAATAAAAGTTAGAGCCAGCAAATCAGGCCAGACATGGATTTGCTGAGACTGAATAGCTGCGAAGGGACTCAGGAGATCAGAGCACCATAGCTAGGGGAAGCTTCATATTACCCTTCAGTCCCAGGAGACAGCTAACTTTTATGGTGCGATTTAGGCCTGTACACCATGACAAACACACACTGTCAAGCGGGAAAACTGGAGGAGAAACTTTAAGGAAGGGGTCCTTACCGACTCACATTCCCTCAGCTTCTTCTGGGCGCTGTCAAAGTCGAAGTTCACATAGAGACACTCCACAAACTCTGTAATTGGGTCCTTGTATGTGTACGACTCCTGCAGGAGTGAGAGAGAAACCATCAATCATGTGTTGATTAAATTCTTGAGGCAAATTACATAAGAATTATTCTGCTAACATTTATTGATCTTACCTGTTGAATGACTTTCACCAAGTCCTTGAGCACTTGCCTGCGCTTTCGCACATCTTTGTTGGTGATGACTGCCGTTGTAAGGTACCGCAGAATGTGTGGGCACATTGTCTGGATGGCGTTCAGGTACCTGAAAAACACAAAGGCAGCATACAGTGGCACTATCATTAGCTGCCATTACAATGAATTTGGATACAATCAACACATTTTTACACACAGAGAAATCTGTGATTCATGCTGTTAAATACCTTACAGGTTACCATTTTAAACCAAACCTGTGCACTTCTCTAACTGCAATCAAATCAAAAATCCAGGTTAAGAAAATAAACTGACAATAAAACAGTAGGTTGGCCTTCCAACTACTAAGGCCTTAATAAATAGTGCCTCAGCAATGTGTTCTTGAGCAAGAATTTAGAGTAAGCTCTGGATGACAGCGGCATCAAGCCTGTATAAACGCCGTGCATTGTATCTAAAAAAGTGAGTTCTTTGCTGTACTGAATACACAGAAACTCACTGGGGCTGATAGAGGAAGAGCTCTATGATGTTGTCTCTGCCCTTAGGGTGGTTGAAGAACACAAAGAGGGACCAGTGGATGAGCCAGGTCCTCTGCTGGAGCGACTGGAGAGGAGAGCTTACAGACTGAAAGGAAGGACGACACAAATGGCGTTATGATGTTATGAAATGTTGCATCAAGCAAAGAAATACATTCAGGAAAGGCTTTCCTCCCAAACAGCAGAGAAACGCTCACAAAGCAGGTTCACATAGTAAATTTAGAGGCAAATGACCTACAAATAGCAGCAGGTAATTAACAGACCTTCATCTGGGTGCATTTCTACTTATTAGTCAGTAATCGTACTGGTTTTGACATTTCAGAAAATGAGCTTCACTCTCACATTTTTGCAAATTTATACTACTGAACTGAGTTTACCAGAGACTGCAAATGCCAGTCCATGTTGCTATGTGCCATTTATTCTATATTGCTAATCTAATCACTAATAAAAGTAGCTAAAGTTGACTAAACCTGTTCAGTCACAGGCAACATGAAATTTTGTTCCTTAAACTATTATTCATGTACATTGTTATCAATGGTCTCCCTGAGTCGAGTGAGATCCTCCATGGCTGCTTCCCAGTTCTGCATGAGGATCTCAGAGGCCAGTTTCCCCCACAGAGAGCTCAAGGCATTCCTGTCTGTTGCAGGAACCTGAGCAGAAAGCAACAAAGTCAGTGTAACAAACACACTGTGCAGTATTTTGGAAATAATATACATTTTTAAATAGACAAGAACCATTTATTCTATATTCATATTGTGGCTTAGGAATATCTTTTTCTGTTTGTATGTGGTTATTCTTACCAGGACACGGAAGAAGTAGAGGTACTCTGCAGCCCCAGAGTAGTTACCACACTCGTACTGGAATTTGGCGTACCTATACAGAGTGTCCAGGTATTCTTGACGAAACTAAAAAATAAAAAACAAGGGACATAAAAACTTAAATTAAAGCACGTAGAACAATGTTGAAAACTGACCAGCTGGCACGATATAAAGGTTATAATGAATGTGTCTTTATACAGTCTATAGCCCTGGACTGTAGTCACAGTAATCCACTGTTTTTCAAACGTCTAGCGCCTTTGCTCAACCCCCCCCCAAAGAGAAAACTAATTGCGAGAAGCTGCCAGGCTGACAGAATGTGGCTGATTAGGCCATGTGCTGGCATCTTTCATCTTTTTAGGCAAAACAAAACCTGTTTTTCAGACTGACAACACACGATGTGGACAGCGTTTTTATGTACTGCCTAATCACAAAGAAGTGCAATTAATCTGCAGATTATATAAAAAAGGTTAAATAAAAGAAATTAAACCAGAAAGTAGGCCAAAGTATCTGCCAATGGTATTTCTCTGATCAATGAGTGAGTAATGAGCACTTTGGTGGGTATTGTTGGATGTTTTAGTATTCTGAGATTTGGATAACAGTCCTGCTGGCTCACAGTGGCAGCTGGTTGTTATGGAAACAAAAACACATTGCGAAACCCACCTTAAAAGATTAAAATTCAGTGCACTTATTATACAAGAGGACAGTGTGAATACACCATGTAACATTTCAAAACTTACATTGTGTTTCTCTGAAAGATAGTCGAAGAGCATCCTCCCATCTCTGATAAGGAATTAAACAAACAGATTAATAGACATCAGATGAGCCTTTTATAGTCTACAGACACACCTTTACAAGTACTATAATACTGTCAGTACTGTAATATAGAATGAGCAAAGTATTTGAGAGATTTGACAAGTTGATCAGACCTTGTGGACTGCATCTGTCGGGTGGTCTCTGGGTCTTCAAACATCTTGACAATTGGCTCCGTCTCTGACTGGAGCTGCTTTAGTTGGGCCACGACAGTACTCCTCTTCTCCCTCAGAGCTGAAACAGGACATTACAGCAAACCCCAATGACTTAACATGTGTTTAACTGGTTGGAAAATGAACAGCAGCAAATGGTAGAAAATATTTACCTATAATTTCCCAAGTAACCAAACACTTTACAGATTATGGTTCAATTATGTTCCCAACTGTTAAACCATGAACCGCTCAAATGGCTGGTCAGCGTTGGGGCATCACAGACTACACAAGAGGAGGTCTTTCTTCTATTCTTCTCTTTGACTATGGGATTTAAACATGACTGACAATCTGTTACACTTATATTACAATGTATGAAATAAATCATGATTTTTGTTTTGCACAACATCAGTGCCTAGCAAGCATCTTCAACTGTACTGTTAAAAAGCTAGATATTATGAGGGAATTAAATGATATGGATTCAGGACAAACTACTTTCTTACAGTGTGGGATTTCTTTGTCCGCGTACAGGTTTTTGTACACATCCATGGCGAAATCCACCATGTTTGTCTCACTGAGGAGGTCCAGCTTCCCCTGAAGAAGCTCCTTTTCATTGTAGATCTGTTCCAAGTAAACACAAACATTTAGTTTCCCTTTGGGACACATATTTAAATTTACAAACAACTGTACCAAACGCTTGTCCTGATGTTATTTCATCAGGACAAGCGTAACAGTCAGTCTCATTCAGCCGGTTAAAGTCATCGTTAATCCTATGCGCTCGCTTTAGGCTAACACGCTAGGTAACGACAATAAAAAGCTAGCTAGCCAAAGCCCTAAAATAACATCGGTTTTCCGGATTCTCAGTCATTTTCTGCTACTACAACTAACATAACAGCAACACTCCAGTTCTAAAAGACGATATTAAATTGGTAGTTTAGCAAGCGTTTGCTGCTAGCTGGCGGGCTAACGTGACTACTAACGTTAGCCGGCTGAATGAATCGCTGCTAGCTACAACTGTGTTTTCAGGCATAAATACCACCGAGAAGGAGCTACAAGATATTTTGGAGTCATACGACGCAAAAGCTGCTGTACCTCTTTTACGGACAAAAATTCCAAAAGAGGAAAAACCAAATGCCGGTCCAGAAAATGTGCTATCTTGGTTGTCAAGTCGTAGTCCGCCATCTTGGCTGGCTTCAAAAACTTTATTGGCAAACATAGCGCAGACGGAACCTGACCCCGTGAAGCTGGTAAGTGGTAGCTGTTAGAAAGCACACAGTAATTTCACAGTAGCTTTGCCCCTCTCTCTCTCTTTCTATATATATATACATTCACTAACCACAGGTGCCATTTACAGTGGGGAAATGTTCTGAAAAGTAGCTTGCAACAAGAAATGTCAAACAACAAATGAAATAATGCTTTGAGAATGGTTTTGCAAAGTAAATATAGAAGAAACAAATGTGCATCGTCCAAAAAAAGCAAGCTTTAAAAAATAAGCTGCTGATTCATGCATTATATTCCATTATATTGAATATTTTAAATTGTCACCTGCCACCTGAATATAGGTGGAAGACCCCCAGACCCACCAATCACGTTCCACATTGAATATTTCTTCAAAATAATGTAAAAAAAAATTTCTCATCTTGTTCTCCTGAACCCAATATTGTGCATTGTCACGTCCCTAATATGAGCCCACCCACACCACTTTTCAAAACAAAGTGACACCCTTGACACAAACTGACATAATTAAATAACTTATAAAAGGACAAATAAATTGGTCTACTCTACTACTTGATCATAGATGTGAATGTTATATTTACCCGAAATAATGTCAATGATTGACATCAGATTAACAAAAGATAAAATGTTTTTCACTGTAGACACATCAAATTAGTTTATGTGATTCGATTTTGATAATAGATAGACACCAGAAATTCACTGTGATGTGTTCTATTGAGTGAAAGTTCTTGCTGACCCTGTCTAGTCAGTGGAGTTTTTTATTCTTCTTTCTGAACCAGAATGAAACCCAAATAGCTCTGAAAATGTCACTGTGCCCCTGTACATGCATTAGCTCTATGAATGTACAATTTGTTTTGGAGCTCAAGCTGTGGAGTGGTCCACATTCTTAGGCTACAGATTCAGATTATTATCCCCTGTAGCATTTACAAGAGCTTCAGACAGCCAAGAACAAAATCTTTCTGTCTTGCCACAAAGGCATACAAAACGTACCAAGTAAATAAGTTGAAATACATCAAGAAACACAAAATAAACGGCTGAATTGTTATGGTATTTGTCTTGCAATTTGATGCAGAAAAGTGTTAATGTCTCAAAAATATTTTAGGTCTAACATATGGATCGAAGGAGACTTTGGACTCTGTGGGCATGTGGCCTACCCAAATGAGAGTCTGCTGTTTTTTTTCATTGACCTCTTTGAGGTCAGAAGAGGGACTGGTCAGACAGGTAGCAGCTGTCACCACAGCAGGGAGTGTGATCAGAGGTGTGAGACACCGAGCTTCATAAGCATCAGTCAATGAGGTGGATAAAGAACTCCACAGCCTGCTGGGCATGTTACCAGCTCGAACCAGCTCTGATCGTAGATTCATGGAGGCAGTCTTGGTTGTGTCCTGGTCTAACTTTTTATGGGAACCAGGGACAAATGCTCAAACAAAGCTAAGCAACTGATTGCCAAAAAAAAAAAAAAACGATGGCAAGGGAAAGATACAGATCCAGTGATCCAATATTTTATTACCAAAGCCAGAGGAACCTAAAATAGGCGACTTAACAGAGAGCTACCTAATCTAACTAGCCATAAACTGATCAAAAAAACAAAAGAATGCAATACTGTATGCTACAAAATACAATTCAGGGAAAAGTATCACAAGTAGTAGAAGCATTTTGGAAAGGCAGAACATGTCTACCTAACCTCTTATCCAGTCTAGTAAGTAAGTAAGTAAAGTTTATTTGTATAGCACCTTTCACAGATAAAAATCACAAAGTGCTTCACAACAAAATGTACTACAGTACAACAAAGTAAACTGCAATGCATAAGAGAATTTAAAAACAAATGGAAAACATTGAACAAAAACCATAAAAAACCCTTGTCTAACTAAAAGCCTGCTTGAATAGCAGAGTCTTCAGTTGCAGAATTCACACAACATAGAAAGGGATGTAATGCATTCTACAGCCTAGGGGCCACAGCTTCGAATGATCGATCCCCTCTGGTTTTAAAATGAGTGTGGGGAACCACTAACAACCTCTGACCTCATGACCTCAGACTACGGGTCAGAGTATGAATCTGTATCAACTCAGAGATGTAGGGAGGAATGACCAGGATTTTAAATTAAATTCTATACTGGACTGGAAGTGCTGCTAAAACAGGTGTGATGTGTGCTCTTTTGTTAATGTTAGTTAAAAGCCTTGCAGCAGAGTTCTGAACAGCCTGGAGATGGTAAACCTCCCTCTTGCTCAAACAAGTAAAAAGATAGAGTTACAGAGTGGCACTCCAAGGACATTGCTGGATCAAAAACAACAACAACTAAGTTCCTGAGGCTCGGCTGGACAGACGAGACAAGTCACCAATATGCTGCTTTATCTGAGGGATGCTACTTTCAGGGGTGATAATTAGTGTTTCTGTTTTCGCTGAGTTCAGAAGCAAGAAGTTGTCACATAACCACTGTTTGATACTGGTCAAGCAGTTAATGAAAGAAGACCATTTATGGAAAAGGGTGAGTTGCTCTGCTACAACTTTTCTAGAATATTTGACATGAATGGAAGTTTGGATTTTGGATTTGGATACCTAGGTTGAAATGGATCCAAACTGGGATTTTTAAGTACATGCTTAACAACAGTGTGTTTAAATAAACTAGGAACGACACCAGATAAAAGTGAAGTATTAAGCATCTCCACAATACAGGGACTCAACACAAAACTCTCAGATAAGACTTTCAAGCACAGCATACAAGGAAATAAACAGCCATGTTAACAGCTCTGTTGCAAGCATGACTCTAAACATCTAAAGTGTATGAGTGCATCACAAAATAGAGTGCAATAAAAGATCTGAGTTACTAGGGTTGGTACTGCAGGGAAACACCTGCCTTGTTCCATGGGCAGGATGAGCAGAACATGTTTTCATGTTCCTTAAAATGTTCTGAACCTCAGAGGCAACCCGAGTGCCTAATTTATTTACAAAATGTGAAGGAGAGGAGATGAGGGCACAGGTGCATCAATTTAGAAGCCAGAGTTCACGAATGACACCAAGGAAAATAGCTGCTTCAAGAGGCAAGAGCAGGGTGAACTTTGTTCTCCTACGCGAGAGTCTGGTTCGCAGAAAGCTACAAAATGAGACACATTTTCCCGTCACAGAGGAACCATAGTCGCTGCTCATTGGCCGTGCAGTACAACACTGCAACTGAGCCAGATAATTTCTTAGTATGTCTGTAGATGCATTTAAGACACTCATAAAAAAGGCTGCATAGGGTAACTCTCTCTCATCACTTTACAATTCTCTCTGTTTTCTGAAAGATCGCAGTTGAGCATAGACGTTTTCATTTTGAATAGTAATTCCTACATGAAATCTCTATGGAAGAGCTTAGTCATGCCTTATTTTCACACAAAGTAAATGTAATGTCGTGTTTGCTGGCACGCAGCCCAATCCCTCCCCTTTCCCCCTCTCGCCTTCTCTCTGTCCATCCTCGAGGCCAAGACATATCCAGGACTCCATCTCAGCGGCTGGCTGTCTTCCACTTCCATTTCTTTTTATGAGAATAAGAGCCAGCTGGATGTGAAGCACTTTAGAGAAGAAGCCAACGATTTAATAAAGCCATAAGAGCAAGACACACGAATGAAACTGATTAATTACAGACAAAGGGACACATTCTATAAAAAAAATAATACCGCATGTAATATCCTCCCTTGGATGATACTTTAACCTCAGTGTCTTCTTTTTTGTGAGATTGCTGTGCTTTCTACTAGGATGCTGTACTACTGCTCTCTGGAACCACTAAGGATCACAAGTGCTTTTCCACAAGTGTATTTTAGACATTATTGCTTGGATGGCTCAGAACTTCCTTCAGCTCATCCAGGATAAAACAGAGGCTCTTGTCATTGGAGCTGTGGGACAGAGAGAGAAACTGACCTCTAATTCCCAGTTCCCAGGCTAAAAGCCTAGGTATCATCATAGACATAATTTAATTTTCGATGCCCACATCCGGAATGTGGCCAAATATGCCTTTTATCTATTATGTTATACATTTATATTGCAAGAGCGCATATGTTTCTCTCCCAGGCCACTACTGACAAACTTGTGATGGCTTGTGTGCTGACCAGGACCAGAAGGAAAGCACACATTACACCTTTTTTTAAATCAGTACACTGGCCACCTGTTTTGGAATAGATTTCAAGATTATTTTCTTGGTTTGCTTATCACACATAAATTGTCTCGCTATGGTTTTAAGATATGGTCTCTTGGTTGTTAGAAGACCTGTGGAACGGTAAAAACTTTTAAACTCATTTTATGTTCAGCACTTGGAGTTGCAGTTGATGTATGACTTGTGCTAAATAAATAAAGTTTGATTGATTGAAGTGTCAAGGCGAATGAATTTCCATACTCTGACATTAAAGCAGTGGAAATAAGACAGTCCTGGGGACACCTACCCCTCCCTGAACATCCACCTCCAATTCAGTTTCTACACAGTTTCCCAGCAGTCTGCAGGGTGATGTTTACTTGTGCATTTGTAAAAAAAACAAAAAACAAAAAAAAACAAGACCAGCGATAGCTTGTGGCTTGTTAGGTGTGTTGGCAGTGCTGCAGTCACCAGGCAACAGTGGCAAGATTTTCTCACACTGCCCAGTCCTGTAAATACAAGTGACATTAAAGATAAAATGATAAGAGTTGCTTGATCACAATCATTGAAAACGGTGCTAGTCCTTTATTTTAAGCAATTTTACCAGGACACACTGTACTTTCAGTGTCTTTCTACTTTCTTTTTTCTTTTGCTATTTGCTGCAAAAAGGCTGAAAGTCCACCTATTTGGAATAAAATGAGCAGTTACACCTCCTCTCTGGCTAACTGATATGAGAGACAAAAATCTGATGTACGACAAACTGTGAATTACACATGATTCAAGTCCAATGAATATTTAAATAAATAAATAATTATCAACACTGCTGGCTAAGCTCACTCTAGATGAGCTGCTGTCCATCATCTAATTCAAAGGTGCACTTAAGATC